CAGCCGGCTCCGTGTACAAGCTCACCGGCGGCGCGTACGCGGCGCGTGTCCGGTGCCGCCGCACTGGCCGCGCGGCGAAACGGCTGGCGAGAGCCTGCGCCGCCGCCATTGCGCTCCAATGACAATGAGTTGCTGGCAATTTGCCAACCCATGCCCGCCTCCAATCAATCAATGGCGGCAAAGTCAGGAGAATGCCAGCGCCCATTTTCACGGCTAGGCGTGCCTGTTTCGCCACTGTTTCACTTATTCCTACTGCTGAATATTTCGCCAGGCCTACTTTACTGTATTCTGCGTCCAACATTTCTGCAACTAAACTGTGATTCTGTTATTCATATTATTCATTCTTCTCTGCGAAGACGGTGGGTTCCTTATTATTTTCATTGTGGCAGTAACAAGCTTTGATATACATGTCTTTTTTCACCAATTATATTCTGCTACTTACTTTTCTCTAACTCACTTCTTCATTATTACCTTCTGTGCTACCATATTCCCGTTATTGTAAAAGGTGCTGTGCTGTTACTTGTCTCCGAAATATCTCCACGAAACAAAGCGTGAGGGTAGGTTTCCCATATGAACCTTCTTGTCGATCTTGCTTATTTTTTGTGGTCTATGCCAGTGTGAGGTGGTTCTGCTCAGTAACAACCTGAGATTACTGAACATTCCACCCATCTGCTGGAGTGGCCAACTTGCTCTCACTATCACCCATTAGTTCCTTTCCTTTTAACATCCATTTTCGATCTAATTAAATTTATTAACTTTTATCATGTCAAGTTTGAACATATCTCTATCCCTCGTACAATTCACACTTTATAACTAAGCTAACCATACCCTACACAAAATTGATGCTAAGTTGCCTTCGCGCAATAGCTTGTTCATCCGAAATCCATGTGGCGCTTTTTACCCTTTGGATTAGGAGCTGGGAAATAGGAAGAAGCCAGAAGATTATGATATAACTTTGCAATATTGACCGGGATCCAAGGTTCAAAATTTCCCGCCTTAAGGGGGTAGCTCAGTGCTCACAAGTCATTTTGAAAGCTCACTCGTTTCTGTGACACTTTAAGGTTGTGAAAATCACCATGTTTCAGCCATCTCTCTTACTCTCGTGATCCAAACAGCCCTCTTCAGGGCTCATTGCCTCTTTCAGGGAGGAGTTGGGCGCTGCACTCCCATACCCCATTAAGCGTAAACAATTCCAGCAATAATTCCTCACACAATGTTATTCAAAATTCTGCGCAAAATCCAATCTCATATCCGCGTTTTCCAGTAACATTAGCTGCGCCCCAGCCTTCCACTTCCCGGGGTGTGCGCCCTGCTCCTCCCCGTGCGGCCGTGCCTCGTTTTTTGCAGAATAGCGTCGTCCAGCAACTTCTAAGATCGTCATCGTCGTCCACTGATGTGCAACCACCGCCTGCAACGTCCTCCAGATTCCTTGGACAAAGAGAGGTAAGTAACATGGGTAGACACGAAATATTAAGGTACCAAATTCCAGGGTCAACTCAATGCTTTATTTACATCTTCCACAAGAGGTGCAAGTTCTACGATGTTTATGTGTGCAGAGGGTGCAAGAAAGGAGGTCTACATAATCAGATCGAGGTTTGTATGTATATAAATGTATGTGTATGAATATGAACATAAGTATATTATTGAAAATGTTTAATATATTCATTCATGGTTGCGTTTGGTGGCAAAAACAGATGAACTTTAGGTGAATGGGGATGAGTTCCAATCTGACCCCTGCATGCATCATCACACATGCATCAGTGTAAATGTTCTTCAAGATAAGGTCGAACGAAGAACACATCAGGTTAACTAAGTTTTTTTCAATAAACCCTGAAAGATTCTGTTTCGAGTTTTTGGAGGGATTTGTTCTAGAAGTGCCTTGAGATCCGCAGAGACCCTCGGTACATGAAGTGCACAACGACAGAGATCTTAGAAGATATGCTTGAGGAATATCAGAATGACACAAACATCGAAAGGCTGGAGGAGCGCGAAGAAATGATGCTCCGCTTCCATCGCGGGAACTTGAATTCGAGAAGAAGCGCGATTACAAAGTAGTTTGCATGATATCGTATCAATTGGTATGATCTGTGAAGAAGTTTTACAGGAGTAAGGCGTTCCACAAAGTCAGGGGCATGACTTGGGATAACATCCCTGAATCGTTTTCCCGACTTCATGATGGAACTCGCTTTCTGCAACTCAAAACTGCACAGGTGCAAATATACTGCTCTCCGAAGAACGATCGAGGTAGACCTTGAGCTCTTTCGAATGTCTCACGTTGTCAAAATTTTAAATTTCAGAAAGCATATAGAAATGGTCTCCATGCTCTTGTCGCAGATGGTGTACATCAAATACTGCCAGAGCAACTAGGGGATCACAGCCAGTTGTATACAATTCACGGAGTGTGCAACAACGGTGTAGAGGTTATTGCACATTTTCTGTATGCAAATCCATATTAAGAATCCAAAATGTTTTGTAGGTTCCCCTTTTTCATGCTCTGACAAGGAACAAAACGGAAACAACGTATAGAATGATTTTTGGATATATTGAAGGAGAATTTGTTGCACTTGGTGGCGTTCCCAGTTTGCGATTAATCGTTGATTTTGAAACTGCAGCTATAAATGCAGCAAAAGCGACGATTCCAAGCATGACCGTTGAGGGCTGTGGATTCCATTTAGCCCAAGCTTGGAATAGAAAACGAGACTCGCTCGGCCTCAGGCGCTATTTGAAAGGCCCACACAAAAGTAGAGCAGTTCTGAAGTGGTGGAGAACCATAAAGGGGCTTCCATTTTTACCGAAGCACTTACATCGACGTGTGCCGGGACTGTACCGTCCATCAATACCGTTAAGGCACGAAGCTTACCAGAAATGTGAAGAATTTTTGTCATATTTGCATTCGACTTGGATGAGAAGACAGTACGCAGATTTGTGGTGCAAATGGGGAATCACCGAGCTTCGCACAACCAATCTAGCCGAAGCTTACCACAGGTAACAACATAGGTTGACATTGTAATTATAATAAAGAAAGTTTATTCAGCAAACTGCGCCGAATTCTGAAGAAGAAGAATGTGGACTTAGAAGTGATCCTTAGACGGGTGAGAGCAGCGAATACAAGGGCCTTTGCAGACCTCTGTGCCCTTGAGCAAGTGCGTCTTCTTGTAAATTACAAGTTTCTATTGTTGCGACAAACAAAAATTTTTTGCAGGTGCCTGATAGGGAGAGAAACTTAAGGACAAGAGGACTTGGAGCGAAGAAGGAAAGTAGCGAGGGAAATGAGACGTTTCGCAAGAGAATTGAACGGCGCCTACATATTGACGTCCACAATAATCAAGTATTGTCGACGCATGTCAAGATATATTTCAGAGAAGACAATTTGAATAAATCTAATCTGTTGTTTCAACAACTGATTACAATCCAAACACAAAAAATCTTAGGTCGCGCCAGCTATGGGGTGTGATGACCAGAAATTGTGAAAAATTTCTGGACAATACAACCTAGCACTGGCACAGACCACAAGAAAAGAAGAAAACGCAAAGCTAACAAAGACTATGCAGTGACAGAATCAATGACTGCCTACCATAAGGTAAAAATTGAATGCGTGGACGAGAATTGTAAGATAAACTTGTTCTAGTCACAATGAATATCATGTAACTTACCATATCTAGCAGAAGAGTACCTCTGAATAACAGAATACTCCATTGAGTAGCAGAAATATTAGACTAGAATACAAAAAAGTGCCCTGTTGAGCATATATATACTCTGTTGAGTAGCAGAAATATTGGACTAGAATACAAAAAGTAGGCCAATGGGTCATTCCGCAGCAGAAATGGGTCAAACAGTGGCGAAACAGGCACGCCTAGCCGTGAAAATGGGCGCTGGCATTCTCCTGACTTTGTCGCCATTGATTGAGTTGGAGGCAGGCATGGGTTGGCAAATTGCCAGCAACTCATTGTCATTGGAGCGCAATGGCGGCGGCGCAGGCTCTCGCCAGCCGTTTCGCCGCGCGGCCAGTGCGGCGGCACCGGACACGCGCCGCGTACGCGCCGCCGGTGAGCGTTTCTCTCCCCCCGCGGATTCGAGGGGAGGGTCCGCTGCGCTGCCACCCTCTCGCACATCTGAAACTAACATCTCTTGTTATAAGACCGGTTGCGAGGGAGAGGGGTCGTTTCGGCTACTCGTTGACGAGTGAGGTCGTGAAAGGCCGTCAGTTCCCCGACACACTTTTTAAACCCTGCTTCCTACTAAATGCCCTAATCCCGGGGTTTGCCTTTAAGGCGCCCAGCGAAGGAAAGATTCGTCACAGTTGAAGACGTTGAAAGAGCGGTCAGCGACTTCTTTGGGTCTCACATTGCTCAGTTCTAAAAAAAGGGTA